GAAATACTCACGAAAGAGGGATTCACAAGAAGCAAAACAGATCCCTGTCTTTATTCCAGGAATCATGAAGACAGAATGATATACATCCTAATTTATGTTGATGACATTATAATCTGTTTTCTACAAGAAGGGGACTACAGTCAAATAGTTCACAAACTAAAACAAAACTTTGAAATCAAAAAGCTAGGAAACATCAGTCACTATCTGGGAATTCAGATAGAGGAGGAAGAAAATGGAAGCTATCTTCTCAACCAAAGTCAGAAAATTGCAGAAATTTTGAAACAATTCCACATGCAAGATGCATAGGAAGTAAAAACACCTATGGCACCAGGCTACCAAAAGAGCAATGAAGCATAAAACTTACTACACAACAATGACATGCATCGCAGAACAATCGGAAAGCTACTATACTTTGCCACTGTGACAAGATCAGACGTAGCGGCAGAAGTGGGCATACTCGCTAGAAAAGTCGCAGCACCCTGTCAGTGTGACTGGAAAGAGTAAAGAGGGTAATACAATACGTAAAAGGAACAATTATGATGAAGCTACGACTGCATATTCCAAAACTGGTTGGATATGCGGATGCTAATTATTCTGACTCCGGTGGTTGTATTAGCGATTTATCCCTGGCTGAGACCTCTGTGCCTGGCCTGTATAAGCAGATATAATCACTGAGGACAATCCTTATCAGATAGCTGAACTCACCAAACACCTTTTTATCTACGATTGCTTTATTGCATGCAGCAGGTTAGTTACAGCAGACAACAGGATACAGCAGATGAATGCATAAACGGTATTTAAGGTGGCCAAGAATGATAATGTTTCAAGCTAGCATGTACATGTGGTTATGTTACGAATAACCATGACACTCGACTCGTATTGAACAAGAAAGGGGAAATGCATCATAGATGGGAGGGAACACAGAAAAAACATTGCAATAACCAGAATGACCACAAGATGTCAGTATATGAATTAGCTATACAATACCAATGAGCAAATAGATTAAGAAAAATAAAATATGTGATTCTTATTTCCCATTAATATGAATATCAACTATGACTATGGATTGTGTCATTTTATACAACTATTGTGACAGCACACTAATTGGGACGGAGACTGCACAGACCGCAAATCCACAGGTGGTTACATCTTGCAATACGGGGAAGAAACCATAAGTTGGTCTAAGCGAAAGCAAGCAATTGTTGCACTTTCCTCAACTGAAGCTGAATACATAGCAGCAGCACATGCTTGTCAAGAAGCAATATGGATTCGCCAGCTTTTAATGGACATGGGTATAGACATGTCAAACCCCATCCCAATCTTTGTAGACAACCAATGATGTGTATAGTTGACACAAACAGAAAGGGTCAACCCTAAAACCAAGCACATCAACGTGAAGTATCATCTGCTTAGGGACACTCAAGAGCAAGCTATTATTGAGATGCAATATTGCTCATCAGAAGAAATGACTGTCGATGCATTTACCAAGCCATTGCCAAAGGAAGATAAACATTATATAGCAACGCATATGCTGTTGAGAAGACGTGTTGGAAAATGCATAACACTGATTTGTATTACTGACATTCAGAGCTATAATATTATCCTTTGAGCTGTAGATGGCAGTATACTGCAATGTTTGTCTCTAGTGCTTACTCACAAATTATATATAGAGGATGTTATGTTATGTTTCCTCTATAATGCTGTATTCCTATATAAATGTATACAACATTCTTCTAAGCAAGTAAAACTTATTTCAGCATTCCTCAAGATCTCAGTGCATCATGTAAACACATAACCAACATACATCAATTTCAAAGAACTCTGTGGACTCACCGCTCTGATTCCATCTTCAGCTGCAATCAATACATACGCTGGGTGCAGGCTGATCCAAAAATCCAAGCAAATCCAAAAACGAAATCCAAAGTAAGATCCAAAATACGAAATGCAGCATGTACACCACAATGAGTCTCTCCCACACCAATGCTTCTCATGCGTTTCACCACGTGGGCTTAATTATAGACCTCGTAAGAGTTTTGGAGATTGACATAACCAACATATGATAAATCTGGATTAATGAGTCAGCCAGGCAACCAGCATTCTCAGAAGTAGGGCAACAATAGCAGCTCCGTATTTCTCTTGCGATGAGGGAGTGTGTGCAATGTTAGCTGTGATGCTATTTAATTATTTCCAAATGGCACCCCAACGCACCAATCCATCACATATGCGTTGTACTGCACCACATTGCATGGTAACCTATTAACATGCAATGTATTCCGGTTCGATTAAAAAAAAAGTGCACACACTTCTTTAAGTGAGATTTAGCTGTGGTAAGCAGCCTATTTAGATGAGTAGGCTGCCTACCGCAGTGTACAACATGAGCACACCCTGCAGACCTCTGTGACGTCGCATCTCAGAGGTGTGAATGTTGGGATCAAATCAAACAAAAATCACAGCAATAACTAAGCCAGGAAAATAGATGTGTCCCTGTTTCTACACTAATCTCAGGAAAGCTAATGATCTGCAAAAGATTTTAGCATGCTAGAACAGGATATAACTAGACTCTGCAGTCTGTGTGATCTGGGCAGAATGTAGGCCAAGCTATGTTCCCCCAAGTAAAACAGGGCAAAGACCAATCATGCTGGGCAAACTGATTCCTGAACTCAGATCAGACAAAAATAGTTTGTTTCTGTTCCTTGGGCATTACTACACTTTTCACAGTGTTCTTGCATGAGCTCAAAAATATACATACTTGTTTTGCAGGTTCTGTCCAACTGATGTCATAAAAAAATGTTTAGAGTATTCGCCAAATTGCCTTCGATAAGAACTATGTCACTGTACTGCAACCAGACTTAAAACTGAACTCTGGGCACAAAAACGTTTAAGTTTATTCCTCGATAGTCACAAAGGATGTAAATCCACTTTGTGCGCAAAACCTACTGTTGCCATAATAAGTAGCACTGACATCATCACTGTGCTGCACATAATCTATGTAGAGGACAGAGCCGTCGGAGGAACCAAGCAGTCCCCACCCACTACAGCAGTGGTTCTCAACCTTTCTAGGGCCGGGACTCCTTGGTAACATTTGCCAAGTTGTGGTGACCCCCAACGGTAAAATGTAGGGATGACGCGGCTGCTGCAGTGACATCTGGCGGTGTGGCTGGAGAACTGACAATGCTGCGCTAGGGGAGGGCTGAGGAGGACTCTCACCTAGCACAGCAGAAATCACACAGAGATCCACAGGTTGAGAACCACTGGCGTATGCCATCAGAATAAAAAAATTAAAAAAACACCATAGGAATGCATAGCTAGATTCCTATTGGCTATTTCACTTTGCAATAGCCAAAAGCAAACTAGCTATTGCACCCGTCCTCTGCTGCTGTCAATCACTAGAAGAGGACCTGATGGAGAACTTCAGGTCCCCCTTCTGCTGATTGGCAGCAGCAGAGGGCGGGTGCAATAGCTAGTTTTCTACTGGATATTGCAAAGTGAAATAGCCAATAGGAATCTAGCTATGTGTTCCTATGGTGTGTTTTTTTTTCTGACTTACGGCGGCCGTCGGCCCCCGATGTCAGGGGGAAAAAAAAACGATCCTAGGGAAAGGTTTACTCTGCTCGATCGAAAGTGTTTATCTCCCGGGCGACCGGGAGCCGCTATCTAATAGCGGGAGTCTCCCGGGCGACCCCTGGCAAATCGTCATTCGACCCCCGACGGGGTCGCGACCCACAGGTTGAGAACCGCTGCACTACAGGCTGCCTGCAGAAAACTACAGGAGGGAGTGGAGACATTAGGGATTAGGGAGACATTAGGGATTCCCAACATCAACCTCGTGGTGCACTGTTGCCATTCCTCCATGGGAAGGGCTACGCCAAGGTCAGATTTCCATGCCGCCATATAAGCTAGTTTTGCGAATGGACCCAATAGTGCAGCATATATTAAAGAGATCCCTCCTCATTGACCGGGCCCCCGCGAGCACCACCGCTCAGACTGTGTCAACAACAGAGCACCACTTTCGGGAACATGTAACGATTTCAAGTAATGATGTATTTGTCTAAATCTAAACATTTCCGACCGAGGCATCTGCAAGGTATTTAACCTCCCTGACGGTATTCCCGGGTCTGGCTCGGGGTTAACTTTCAGTACCAGGAGCGGTAACCCGGAGCCACACTCGGGAATGCACAGAAAAGTGACACTTACCTTGTCCCTGCGAGCCTGCGTCGTCCTCTGCTCTACGCGGTCGGCCAATGCCGGCATCTGAGTTTTACTTTCGTTTTTCGGCCGTCACAGCAGGGGGTGGAGCCGGCGGGAAATTCAAAAGTGAGAAATGACATTTACACAGAATACACAGAATACAATGCAATCTGCTATAATTACACTTATGTATCAAACTATTTCACTTCAATTTTGTCCCTAGAGCTTTGTCCAGTGCCCTGACTGACACTTTTACTGTTCTTTCGGCCTGGAAACTTGTAAACGTCCATGGCATCCAAAAAGCGTCCCTTTAGGTCAAAAGCGGTTTTAGACCAGGTAGAAAACAGCGATAGTAAATTATAATCACTTGCAGAATTGAGTGATAGCGATTCGTACGGAAATTCGTCATCAGACACTGAAAGTGACTTTCAGTGTCTGATGACGAATTTCCCAACGAATCGCTATCACTCAATTCTGCAAGTGATTATAATTTACTATCGCTGTTTTCTACCTGGTCTAAAACCGCTTTTGACCTAAAACAGCGACAATTCTGCGACCGAGCGCAGTGATGTGTGAACTTGGTACTTTATTGACTGTGGTACGGATCAGGCAGCGCCCCCAGAAGGCCCACCTCAGTGCTGCCACATACATGTGTACAGAAGGTGGGAAGGAGTTATGAATATAGCTTGTAGTTTAAATAACAGTGTACACCAATTTATGAAGAAACCTCATATTCAGAAAGTGTTCTTTCATCCTAAATAAGAGAAAAAGAAATGATTTGCACAAACAGTTGAATTCACTAATTCATTTACCCAAAACCCACGGTAATATCACCCATTCAATGGGAGCAGGTGCGGGTCCAGGCTGGTTTATGTTGTATTCGTTTTGTGAAGCTCGCAGCAAGAGGAAGAGAAAAGTCAAGTATGATGCAGTGTGGCAGATGAATTTGATGAATGGCTTCCTGATAAAAAGTCCGAGGTTGCTTTTTGGAGCTATCAAGTAACAGGCAGAGAAGACTGGGAAAAGTAGTCCTATTATTACACATGTTACCATCTTCACTGCCCAGTGCCGCCTCCTCCAGCCTGGAAATTCATCATACCAGCGCGATGCCAACAGCTGCTGACAGTTAGGTTGAGCAACAAACTGTAAAACAAAGCAAGCACAAAAGTCAAATACACAGTTAGAGTTTTGCAGCTCATCAACAACAAACATAATTAAGGCATCTATTTCAATTTGGTTGCAAATGGCCAGAGCCTTCTGGGTTATACTATCATATTTTTTAAGAAAACTGTAAGACTGAGAAATCTGACTTGCCCTATTTAAGAATCTGAATATTCTGTCTTTAGTCAATACTGACAGTGTGTACGTGGATAGAGAACTGGCTACGGGAACGTGTCCAGAGGGTATCTGTAAATGGCACCTTTTCAGACTGGGCTAGTGTAATGAGCGGTGAAAAGTGTGTTCATTCCTTGAATTGCTAATTTGCATAATTATAATTTGAAGCACCACACTCCATTTAATAGTCCAGAGGCATCTTCACTCAATATAGGGTTTACGTACAGTATAGAAAAAGCCAATGTGTTTATGTAGCTCGTACAAATATCCCCTGCCAAATCACTGCTGAAGACAGGGCTACCCCTATAATAAGGCAGCTTGAGGCAGCTGCCTCAGGCAGCTTCTCAATGCGTCATGTGGGGAGGTGGCAGGTGTGTCTGTCACCCCCTTTCCGGACCAGAGCATTCGAGGTTGCTAAAAGCTCTTAGCAACCTGTGACGCTCTGGCCTGTGTTGTGCCCAGCTCACTGATATCACTGGTTGCTAGGAGCTGAGTGGAATGCAATGGCTGTTCTGCACAACTACTGGCAACTGGTGACATCAGTGAGTTGAGTGGGACGCCGGACAGCCGATGCTAGAGATACCATGCACCATCGGAACCCCCTGCCCTGCCTAACGCCCTCCCCCCCACCCAGTAATATGCACTTCTAAAACCACCTGCCCCCCATTTTCCCGGCCTCAGGCAGAGGAAAATGTAGGGACACCCCTGGCTGAAGAGCTCTAAGCATTCTCACACACTGGACAAACCCTGATGAAGAGGGTATTTGTATGAGCCCCCGAAATGCATTGCCTATTTCTATACTGCTCCCCCCAACCCAACCCTTCATTGAATTTAGATGTATCTGGACCATTCACAATCCTGCAATTTGACACTACAAACCAATGAAAGCAAAGATCCTCTGCAATGTAGAAGCTGCCTGTCTGGTAGTCAGATCACCTATACTGACTCTATTACATCATAATTGGCCAGTCACACCTGTAGGACCAACCCTAAGAGTCCAGCTATTTTATTCCACTTCCTTCCAGTATCTAAATGGTTAATTTGGAACAGTGTGTTTCATTTAAGTGTAAGGGATTATTATGTATGTGGTTTAGGAAGTGTTATATAATAGACATGTGCACTGCCAAAAAATTTGTTTCGTTTCGTTTTAAATTCGGATTTGTGTTATTTCGTTTTTCAGGATTCGGGTGTGAAAGTCAATTCGGATTCGGAATTCGGATTCGGACGAAATTCGGTAGCGTTAGTACGAACGTTCGTTTCGTTTTCTGTTCTTATTCGTTTCTTATTCGTTTCGTTCGTTCGTTTGCAGCAAAAGTGACATTTAAGGGGGAAAAAATATTTTTCTCCTTCTCTAATGTCACTTTGCTCCAACGAACGAAACGAATAAGAAACGAATAAGAACAGAAAACGAAACGAACGTTCGTACTAACGCTACCGAATTTCGGATATGGAAATTCGGATTCGTTTGCATTCGTTATGTCTGTAATTCGGAATTCGGATACATCCGAATGTCCGGATTTCCGAAAATTCGTCCGAATTTCGATTCGGAACGAAACGAATCGCATATGTCTATTATATAATGTTTCTGCATAAACAGTCTTCAGAAACATGGGGAATGATAGTATAACACGCTGTGCCAGAGTCAGAAAATCATATGCTAAGGCAGGGACTGAACACCACAAACACTGAGGTTTGCACATGGTTAGATAACCATTTAACATGGCCATCTCGACAGCAACATATAGGGATTGATTTACTAAAAGTAAATAGGTTGCTCACTTTATAGCTTAGTGAATGTGATGAAAATTCACTTTACAAAGAATACCCAATCATATGCAAGGAAAAGAAAAAAAAACAGTATATTTGCTTGTGTTTGATTGGATGATGGAAGTCAGCAGCGCTTCATCTTATTCACAAAGCAAAATGAAAGTTCCCTTTCAAAGTGAACAGCCTATTTGCTTTTAATAAATCAACCCCATAGTCTCTAGTAATATGGTGATGTTAGCACAGGACTCAGAGATGGCTGCATGAGTATGGTAACAACAGTCCACAAAGACAACTGTGAAGTATCCTCATGACCCATGCAAAGAAACAAACAAAAGCACAGCGCCTTTTCCTCGTGTGATACCGTTTATTGAATGAAAAATATATCTAGAGATAACAAACTACTCACATATAGAAGATGGAGACAAGCGATGTAAAACACCATACATGTAGGGCAGCGTCAAAGGTGCTGATCCGTTTTGGTGAAGCTCCCCCCTTCCTCAGAGCTTAATAATCAGGAAGGGGGGACTCCCCCGAAACGCATCAGCACCTTTGGGTCTACCCTGTGCAGTGTTTGTGCTTTGACTGTGTGTGCAGTGTCTGTGCCCTGACTGTGCGTGCAGTGTCTGCCCTATGACTGTGTGTGCAGTGTTTGTCCTATGGCTGTGTGTGCAGTGTTTGTCCTATGACTGTGTGTGCAGTGTTTGTCCTATGGCTGTGTGTGCAGTGTTTGTCCTATGGCTGTGTGTGCAGTGTTTGTCCTATGGCTGTGTGTGGTTTCTTTTAAAGGGTTGCTGTACTTTTTACTTAAAATTGACTATTTTACCAGCTGTAAACAAGCACCTGGAAATAAAGCAAACTATGGCTGTCTAACACCTCAACTTTTTTTTGTCAAAAGTACAGCTGGCATTTAAGAGTAAAGTATAAAAGAAAAAAAGGCAATTATAATGGCCACTATCTGTGCAGCCAGTTTGATGGCTACTATCAGAACCCCATGATATATTGCAATTTCACAGCTGTTAACCTGACACATCTAAAACCGTTTTTTTATCCTGCAGTCATTTCTTGAAATCTTGCATCCTGCAAACATGCCTAGATTTTTCAAGCACCTTAAAAGTTACCTCCATGAGTCTTAAATTAAAAAAGAAACTGAGCTTTTATGAAATCACTGTGACACCCAATTCAGAGATACCTGAGACTGAAGACATTATTTCTGCTCTCTGCCTCTTCTATAACTCCAATGCCCGCAAGTGCTCAGACACAGCATAAAGACATGAAACTATACAATCAAAAATACATGTTATCCTGGACAGTGTTGGTCTTTGACACACTGTAGTTCTACTGCTGGGTGGCCAGGTCTAGTAACACCTAACCAACTTGCACCGTCCGCTGGAGTGATCTTCCTCCCAACAGGTCTGCATTGGTACACTGTCAGCGTCACTTGGCAAAACCATAAACAATGGCTTGGGAGCAGCCAGGGCCAGATTTACTCTCTCTGCTGCCGCAAGACCAGGTTCCTCAATTGTAGGAAATCCAGCCCTGGGAGCAGCAGAAACTCCTGTCTCTCAGCTAAGTAACCACTGACACTAATGCTTAACTCCCACTGACTACCAACATAAGGGACATTTCACTAACAAAAATAGTGAGCAGGCAGTGTTTCACTGACCAATAACTTGTAGGGAACTTCACGACTAAACAGCAATGTATGGAGTCATTCACCAATGACCATCAAAGTAAAGAAGCACTTGTCACTGACCACCAATTTAAGGGGACACTTACCACTAACAGCTGTTCAGGTTCAAGTTCAGGTATAAGTATGCATATGTGTGTCAGACAATCGGCTGACTCAGAACCCAAACAACACGGGGACATCGTCTGTGGAATTGAAGCATTGCTACACCCTGACAAGGCTGGGTAACAACTTGCAATATAAGTTGATATGCTTGGACATTCTCCTGGTAGCCTAGCCTAGAAGCTATATTAGGGTCAAGCTTCTGTGGAGGTGGGCAGAGTCCTAGAAGAAGCTAGCTAATCATGCAAATGAGTTGAGTAAGACTAGGCCATATCCAGTCATGGTTCTGGTCCACCTCATAGCTGCTTAGAAGCAAAGGTTGACCTTTTTGAGCACTGTTGCACAGAACTAAAAGTAATACTGTGGTTATTGCTATGAAGTCTGCTCTGGCCCTATAAGAGAAGTGCAAAGCACTGCCTCAGCAAGGCCAGTTCACCCATAAAGTTACAGAAAGACTATGGTGCTGAGTGTAATGGTTGCTGGACTTTAACTTCTAAAAGGCAACACGAAAGTAAGCATGTCTTAAGAACAAAGACTACTAGTGCCTGAAGATAAGCCTATTTTGTTACAATTAAATATATGAAAAATATAGTATCCTAGCAAGGTCTAATGTTTCATGATAGTTTTTACCCCAGATTTCTTGAGAAACTAGAGAAAACACATCATTGCTCCACTTCAAGGTTCTTATTATCTATCCGTGTGAGATAGGGATCTTAGATTGTAAGCTCCTCAAGGACAGGGACTGTTGTAAAGTGCTGAATACATTGTCAGATCTATATAAATACCTGTAATAAATAAATAAAATATTGAGAAAGATGGCTCTCTGTAGTATTGTAAGAGATAACAGTCATGTAATCACACCTAAAAAGTAAAGGTCACATATCAACTGACCATAGAAATATTACAGCATTCACTTTATAATTACAATCTCCCAATTTGCTTTGGAGATTTAGACAGTAAACTGTTAAAATCCTGCCACATAGCAGCTCTAATGTTTTTCTTAATTTTTGTTAGTTGATAGAAACTAAAATGTTAATAATTGTGGGGCATATATTGGTTTTGCAGACTTTGGAATATTAATAATTTAAAATCAAACACTGAATTATGGAAGACTAATTCTCCACCTTAAAATCATAACCTTTGGAAGTCTAGGTATCCACCATAACCTTAAAAAATCTTAACATGGACCTTTACCTCTTTTCACTAAAAATCACATCCGCATGTAGCTCTGGATGCTGAGGTGAAATCGTCT